TCCGCCGAAAAGTCCTCGAGTTCTCGTCACGGAAAGAACAAAGCCGATGACCGGACTGCAAGCCACCGTGAGAGGAAGGGGGAGGACAGCCAATTTCGCCCGGTGAACATGCCCGAGGAATACCCGCAGGGTCCGAGCTCCCACGCGCCGGGGGCACCGTCTTCGGAGGATAACATGGAAGGTTATGCAGGCCAGGGCGAGCTACAGAAGGAGTCCAGCGCAGTACTCAATCAGGTCCTGGTGAGTGATCCGTCTGTGGACATCGAGCGGGAGCAGGTCCGGCAGGCCGGCTCGTCGGTATCCCCATCGACGGAGAGCGCTCCAGCATCCGGGTTGGGCTTGGTAGGAAGCGATGGTGTGGATGATGGAGGTCGAGGTGGACTACGAAGCCGGCACGACTACTCGGATCATGCTGTCAAGCGCAAGGAGACGACGTTTGGCCAGTACATTCTTGGGCAGACGCTGGGTGAGGGCGAGTTTGGCAAGGTGAAATTGGGGTGGAAGAGAGACGGCACCATACAGGTAGCCATCAAGCTCATCCGCAGGGAGTCTCTTGGGTCAAATCCTAGCCGGTTACCCAAGATCTACCGCGAAATCTCAATTTTGCGTGACCTCGCTCACCCGAACATCGTTCGGCTCCACGAGATGGTCGAGACGGACCGTCACATCGGTATTATCATGGAGTACGCCTCTGGGGGTGAGCTCTTTGACCATATTCTGAACAATCGGTACCTCAAGGACAATGCCGCTCGTCGCCTGTTTGCGCAACTCGTTTCGGGTGTGGGGTATCTTCACAAGAAGGGTATTGTCCACCGTGACTTGAAATTGGAGAACCTGTTGCTGGACCGGAATCGCAACATTATTATCACCGATTTTGGTTTTGCGAATACGTTCGACCCCATGGACGAATTGGGTGATGAGATCGAATATAACCTGACGAACAAGGAGTTTGTTAAGCGGATGCGCTTGGACAGGCCCAACGCCAAGGGTTTGAGGCGAGGTGATCTGATGCAGACCAGTTGTGGAAGTCCTTGTTATGCCGCGCCGGAGCTCGTGGTCAGCGACTCGCTATACACTGGGCGCAAGGTCGACGTGTGGAGCTGTGGTGTGATTCTGGTGAGTGACACTCGCGTAACATGGTAATTGCAACGCGCTAATTGGTTCATAGTATGCTATGCTCGCAGGATATTTGCCCTTCGATGATGACCCGGCGAACCCGGACGGTGATAACATCAACTTGTTGTACAAGTACATTGTCACTACCCCTCTAACATTCCCCGAATATGTGACCCCCCACGCTCGCGATCTTCTGAGGCGGATCTTGGTGCCTGATCCTCGGAAGCGCGCAGACCTGTTTGAGGTGGCCCGGCACAGCTGGCTCAGCGAGTACTCGCACATTGTTTCCCACATCACGAGCAGTACGACCAAGGTTGCGGACATTGCCACAACCACCGTCACTCAGGGTATGGATCCCGCCAGGAATCCTGCAGGCTCTGCCACTAACCCGGTGTCTCGGGCAGAACCGCACAAGGAAGTGCCGTCGCTGGCACGCAGCGCATCCGTTCGGGAGCCTCCGAAGACATACAACAATAGCCCTGTCCCCTCGGTGGGAGGACTGATCCACCATGCAGGAGACATTTCCCAAGAGCAGGCGGTCGAACGGTCCAAGACTCCTCGAGACACCAAACGACGAACCGTGCAGGTCGAATATGTTGCACCTCAGTCTCAAACTGCGCGGGGCGAGGTTCCTACCGGAGTGGATGCAGGTATCGCGGAGCCAGCTGGGCCGTCGGAGCCTCGACCGACGAGAGCCAGGTCAAATAGTCGACCCATCGTGCCTAATATGCCGTCGGGCACCCTGGCCCGTGATATGTCTGGCGCGTCCAACGTGCGGACTGGAGAGCCAAAGGCAGCCGCTGGCCCGGCGCCGGCACCTGCTCCTGGGCACTTGCCTCGCTCAACGTCCGATACTTCTGCACTCACTGGGACGGCACCAACATCTGCGACCCATGCCACCCGCCCCACTACCGGTGGCTCCATGGCCTCGTTCAACGCCGGTCGTTTGCCATCACGAGGCTCTTATGGACAGCCGGTTGCGCCAACTGTGGCCGCTACGAACGCCCAGGGTCGGCTCGCACAACCCAAGAGCAAGCAATACGTTATCTCCGCCCCTCTCCAGCAAGATTCGTCGTCCCAACAGTCCATTGGTCAACCAAGTACACAGCAACTACCGGCCAAGTTCAACACGACACCCCGACAAGAGCCCCCGAAGGGCCACAAGCGATCCAACACAGTATCAAGCATTGGCGAGAAGCTGTTTGGCCGCTCTGGTTCCATTTTCGGAGGGCGGGGAGGACAGGGTAGCGGTCCTCGACAGAAGAATGGCAAGCGTTATCCGCCTACGAGTATGAAGGAACCATACGGTGGGGATGACACCCGGATGTCGATGGATTCGCGACGCTCCATGCAATATGGATATAACCGCAAGACTAGTGAATCTGGCGCGGAAGGCCGGCCTCGAAGATTCTCATTCCTACCGCCATCATTCTCCCTGAAGGGATTCTCCTCCAGCAGATCGCAAACTCCTGATGAAGAGTCGCAAACAGACCGTTCGACGGAAAACCGGGTCGAACCACGTCCGTCGACCAGCGCAATGCAGGCACGTTCGCGCGCTGCTAGCTATGGGACACAGGATGCCATCGGAGCGGCGCCTGAAGGTGCTCCGGGAGACGAAATCCTGACCCAGGACGAACCCATCAACTACCAGGCCCGGATTGACCAACAGTTTGCCGTATTACACTCGAACCAGTCTGGAATATACCAGCCGACCTCTTACAGCGCGACCTCGGCCGAGCAAGTGTACCAGAATGAGAATGATCATTATTATCGCAACCAGTACGCCAACCACTCGGCACCCAACCACTACGAGGAATACTCCACCCCGTATGATAAGACGCCACGGCCGTCAATGCAGGCTGGTCGACCTGGGCGAGGGACTGGCGTCTTACCCAAGAACCACCGGAAGTTCGCAGACGCCTACGAGTACGAACGCGACTTGGCGCACCGGCCTGGCAGCTCTGGCGCCGCCAGAAAAGTAATGGATTTCTTCCGTCGGCGAGCTAAGTCGAGAGCCGGCGATGACCGATAGGCTGGCATTCTTGGTCTTGGAGCTCATCTACTAATATCTTGTCACAATACAACACACTGAACGCGACATAGCCGGTCAGTGTAGAATTGGTTACCGCGGTCGAACAATGACGAACGACAAGCAGTCCCCGTCTCATTACCTGCTTGCGATTTGGGAATTGAACGTATGGCAATGCCCAGGAAGGCGACGCAGGTGCTCTGGCATTCGCCGCAGACCCAGGATCCTCTCGAAGTGAGGACGGGTTCGACGGAATGACAGGTCTCAATTGGGGCCTCTTGGTTGAGGTGGCATTTGAGGCGACCAGCTCTTGGAAATCGGCATTGAAGAGCAAAATGGTTAATTGGATACCCCCGTGATACCCACGCAAAATTTCGTCCCTTCTGTTGCTTGCAGCTATCGAATTGTCCTCGCATTGTACCAGCAACCGTTTGTTCCCGCATACATATCCCTATCTCGCATTCGAATTTCCCCTGTTTTCCATAAAGCCTTATTTCCTTTGTTCAAATTCTCGTTTTCCTTTCCCTGTTACTATAGTACTGATTGTAAATTGTTTTTCTTTTTCCCTGACTCCCCCATTGATTATTGCGCATTTTTTCTCTACTTTACTTCTTCTCGGACGTGGTGTCCTTGGTGTGCTACGGCTATTTACATTCCTATTGATCAGGATTATTTTGTGGTTAATTTAATACGTTTCTTGTGATCACACAACCCGGCCTCTGTTGATTTTGATGTGGTATTTGTTTTGAACCGGTGGGTGAGGATGACTTGGTTGGAGCATTACCAGTGCATTGAGCGCATGTCGATTACCCTAGCATCTATTTCCATAACTTCATGCCCTTGGGGGCCACAATTCAGAGTATAGTGTGATCCACAACCCGTTGATTGATAGTAATTGGGGCTTTGCAGAATCCCTGTCTAGCGTGAGCGGATACCCCAACTATTCGCCCGCACCTATTGATAGAAGCGTAGCTGCAGCCAACTTCAGCCCATCGAAGAAGTAGAAAGAAAGAAACGGAGTCGTGGCTTAGACGTATCCTTGTCTTGTCCTCTACCCCTCTTTTCATCCCCACTATCTCAACATCTACAGATGACACTCTCAGCTGAGGCTGTACCTGAAACCAACTAACTAAATAGACCTAGCGATAACGATGATCATGCAGCTACTTAGTGGTCTGTGAGCGCCAGTAAAGTACAGTAAGTCGATTGCCGTCTTTGAATCAAACTATATCTGAAACAACCGCTGTGCTTACTTACTTCTGTTGCGGCATTTATGGATTTACTACTTGCTTCATACCCTGGCTGGCTGTTGGGTCATTGACACTGGCACATGAGTGAGTTAGTTATGTACACTGCAGTAGATCAGATTTTAGGGCAAATGAATAGTTGATAGAGGAGAATAATTAATAGATTTTGGACCCCAATGGGGTGGTGTTTCGTTGAGATGGATACATGGTGTATGTAGTGTGGTGGTGTGGATAGTGATGAGGGTGAGTATGTATGTGATGTATGTCAGTTCAGTCAGCCTTGCGAGTAACTGACTAACTAACTAACTAACTAAATAACCCCCACGGCAGTTATGTATCTATTCAGTTACTTGTTGCTCACAAGACACGTTACCATTCCAGGTGTTAGGGTAGACTGATAGACGATGGTTGACTTAGAATAAATAGCACAGTGAGATAAGGAACTAACTAACCAAGCCATGCATCTATATTTACCTACTAACCATTGAACAATAAACCCAGAAAGAAAAGCCCAAGAAACGTAATCACTAAGAAAGAATACGATATGATATTGTAGGTTGTATGTATGTAGTAGATAGATATAACCATCAAAAAAAACAAAAAAGATATGACAAGAGTGGGATTCGAACCCACGCCATCTTACGATGATCAGGAAGCTTGAATGAAGCTGGGTATTAAGGTGGACCTTAACCTGACGCCTTGGACCAACTCGGCCATCTTGCCTTGAGATGATATTTCGGTGCTACTTTATGCTATATGAGTCTAAACATGGCAAGGTGTTGTGCCAACTTTGTGGGTTGTATTGTAATATACGGAGTAGTCGTTTCTAGATTAAGGTGGTGTGGGTTGGGTTGGTGGTGGGAAGGATTTGTCGGTGTTTGTATGTATGGTAGGGTAAGTAGCTTAGGACTACTTAGTTACTACTAGATTATGAGAGGAGGTTCGTTGATTACATTGACTTGAGTAGTAGTGGTAATAGTATGTATGATACATGATTCAGACCGAAGTGGGGATCACATAAAGCCTACTAGAGATTTATATCAAGACCACAGTATAGAGGTTGATGGCTACCCAACTAACTGAAGAAGCACGATGCTACGATTGTCATAACTCCACTCACAAGAGTCGAGTGGCTTCATCCATTGTCCACGTTATCTCGATCATCAACACACCCCAGCATCCGTTCTATAGACCCGACCGATTCTATACATCCAGAAGATGCGGCATAGTTTCATTCATCGTCCACGTCGTCTCGATCACAGACTCGCCGCAGCAGCCTACTTGGTGCAGAACTATGTTTATTGATCATCCGATGTTAATTCTAGAATCCACACATAGCCAGTGGCTTCGCCCATTGTCCCCGATATGCCCTATAATCTTCTTGTGAAAATCACTGTGACGGCTACAGCGTGCCGGATCACTTCATTCCAGGTATGGCTGGCCATGCATGAAACGAGAGGGTTCAAGAGATATATATTCGGAGACCAAGGAGATTATTTTGTTAACCAGTAGGAAACGGGCGGATAAATGAGGCCATGTGCCGTGTAGTAAGGTTACTACTAGGCTTCTTAAAAAGGTGCCTTCATTCTCCTCACTGTCTTCAGTTGTGGAATAATACCGTCGTCTGTGGGTGCTGCTATAGCATGCCAATTTTGTGTTTTGATACTAAATTTTGTTTATTCTATGCTTAGAATGACTTTGGAGTCCAACGTGTATTCTTTCATCAGCTGTCAAGGATTGCAAGTGGCTTGCAAAGTGTTGATTAAACCTGCTATTAATTTGATCCGAGCATGATCTTTTCTGTTATCTAGTCCCGCGCTACTGCCCGTGGTTGGGATCTGACCATATCATGGTAGGTAGATATCATGAACAATCATTAAAAATCAGCCCGTCAGCCGATAGCTGGAGATATGGGCTCCTAGAAAAGTGTCGATTTGCTAGCTTGGCCCATACGTTTTGCTGTTGTGAAACCAAATATAGGACGGAGAATCACGCTTTTCAGCCATTGTGGTGTTTCTCTCGGCTTTATTGACAGTCTCGCCGACCGGATATTATATCGGTTGTACCGACGCAGCGATAGCCTTGGTCATAGCATACCAGCTATAACATTCGTATAGCAGGTCTCGACGTCTTATTGGCAAAGGCATACGTGGAGAAGTAAGATAAGCGGCATAACGCCGTTTCCTAGTGCTGGAGCAAACGTCAGCATATGCACACTTGAGGGGCCGTCTCACCAGCTCCAAGCAGGAAGATTACATGTTTTTCTTTTTGCAATTGCTGGCAGATGTCGTGTTTTTGATGGCTGAACTGTCTCAAGCAGTTTCACAATCCCTGACGTGATTGTGGTTCTTGGGATCTTGACGGTATTCCCGATGATCTATGTTGTGTTCTAGGTCTTGGGACGACGATGCACCTATGTTAAGCTTGGGTACTTTCTCGTAGTATCCCTTCGTTTGGTTTTGAAGTATCTCTTCCGGACATGCGAATACTTTGAATACGTATTCGACCCTCTTGAGGTTGGATCAACGTAATACCGTTTACTCCAAGCATTCACTGGTGAGAGTAACACCATACTAAAGCAGAGATAGTAGCTCAATACTGTGAGCAATGTATTGTATATGGTATAGCCATATACCATATTAAGAAGAGACGTCAGTCATCGACTGTACCCCTTCTAGCCAACTGGCTCAACGAATCGAGTGAAGATACGGGAAAGTAGACTTTACTGGGCGGATGAAAATTTCTCAGTGAGACCAGAGAGATGACAAAGGAAGAAACACAAGAAATGCGAAGGAAAATGGATGTTTATATACTACAGGACCGAGCAGCAATTAGTCGTGAATCTGGACCACATTGTGTGAATCTCTATACAACATTGTGAATACGAACTGAATACGAACTGAATATGAAAATAATCACGGTGAAGCAGTCAGGGAAATTAAAGAGGAAGAGCATCACTACAGAATGCAGTGACGAGGAAGGAGACATCACTCAACTCAGCAAAATTCACATAGCCGCTCATACATACACGAAGCTGAGATGAGCCCTACTTGAGCCGCATCCGAAGCCGTTGCGAAGGAATGACCCTGGTAAGCATGTCTTTTAGCGTCAATCAATCAGGCTGTCCAAAGTAGATATTCAACTATTGAAGTATATTAAGAATTTCTCATACTCCGTACTACACAGCCTTAAACTAGCGATATACTAACAAGCTCACCTGACAGTAGACGGTGCGTCTGATCCTATCCCGGTAGAATATCTCGGCTTTTTGCACCAATCACACACTGGATCTGCGAGACTTCGGCTATATCGAAACCACTACAGAGCACTACTAGTTAACTAACAGAATCGCTTGCATGGTAGCGATGAAACCAGACAGATGTTATTGACTGGTATGAACTGATGTTGCTGACCATGCGTGCGACCATCACCCTCCAACATCATGAACATAAATATTCCACAGACGGGATGTCAACCTGGCGGTAAACTACTAGTAGGATACCCCCCTAGTCCGAAACACTGATTGTTGAACATCCGACTCCGACCCCAAGAGATGATACAATCACAGTGGATCCTATGGTGAAACTAGCGCGAATCACGCAACCCGGGCTATACTAGCCAGCAGACTAGTCTGGACTATCGAAACCGGAGGGTTAACAAGTCAATGATAGTCCGGGTCTGCCCCCTCATCGTATATCAACTCATTGATAATGCAAGAAATCAATAGGTATTACATGAACAAGGCAAGATGGCCGAGTTGGTCCAAGGCGTCAGGTTAAGGTCCACCTTAATACCCAGCTTCACAGCTTCCTGATCATCGTAAGATGGCGTGGGTTCGAATCCCACTCTTGTCATTTCCTTTTTTTTTTGGCACTTATCCACATCGATCGATATGATATGTCTTATTGTAGACGTACGTGGGGGAGATGGCGTGGCTGTTAATCCTTTCTACATTTACCATTGTCATCATTTTCTTTTTTTCCCCTCTTTCTAGTCAGTCAGCCACGGACATAAACCTTAACATGAGCGTAAGCATAACCATAAGTAAGCATAAGCATTACCCTCCCCCACCACACCACACCATCCAGTCCAAAACGACAATAATACTAGAAAAGAAACCTACTTTTTTCTTATGTCATATCCTACCATCATTAGTTAACTAGCTGCGTTCACCGACCGGAAATTCCCTACAGGAGGAAAGCAAACGAATCAAGAAGAATCAGGAAGAAAAGCAAGTAATAGATGATCATCTCGGTGAAACACCATCCGTCCATCCACCCATCCATCCATTTGTCCATCATCCTGCATAATGACAATTAAACCCGAGGGGAAGGGGAGGGTCGTAGCTCGGATAAAAGGGTCATTTACTCCGTAGTATAGTCTCGTAAACATAAGCTCTTCCAATCATGGAGTACTACCCCCAAGGTAGACTGGAATATCCAAGTATGTCAGTAGTATGTGTCATGGACAGCCAAGTCCGGTGTGCAGACGTACGCGGACATGCATATCCGGATGCATTTGTTTCTGTAATGTGTATGTAGTATGTGTGTAGGTGTGGGCTCGGTTAGAGAAGGAAGGGGGTGGTCAGTGGGTTGATAAGGAGGACACTGAAGGTGTGTATCACCATGAGACATATGATATAACTCGTTATCAATATTACTATAGCAGATGAGTATTATGCTTAGATGGGTGCGTGCGTAAGTTTACTCAATTTGGTAATAGGAATATAGCATTGGTGGAATCTTCGTATAGATGGACAAATAAACCAAGGGAAAAAAAATAGATAGAAGGTCAGTAATAAGAAGCAAACCTACTTCATAGCGAGTGGTGTGGGAGTTGGGCTGAGTTGGGTGCAGCAGCAGCAGCAGCAGCAGCAGCAGCGGATGTACGTATCTCAGCATCCGGAGAGGCAAGTTGCAGTTCTGTGCAGACCCCGTGACCAGCACATCCATACTGCAAGTTGTCACCGGGAGCTGGGGCTAGATCTAAGATCGCGCCGTTCTGGTCTGGTCTGGTCCAGATAGCATATCTGCTAGCTGCCATGGCCACTAGTTATCTCTGGAACCCTGTCGGGCCCTTTTACTCCGACGCATGGACGGAGTACGCCGTACGGTGTGCAGTCATGTTTGATTTAACTAATTTCAGGACTACTACTAGGTTCAGGGTTCAGCTGCTCCTCTGTTTACTTTTTTCCCCCTTCTTATCTTACACCGTAGACTACAAGGCAAATCATTCAAGGGGTCGCGCTGGCTTGGCAGGTCCGAAAAGGGTTGATCGGCAGAATCTATCATTGCTTGGCTGTGCAACAGGAACTGCGGTTTATCTGATGGCACAATGCTTGGCACATATCAATGGACCCTTGGCAGTCATTCAGGATTGTCTGGGCAGCGCGGCCCAGGCAAGGAGTATGGTATCATTGTGATTGTGCAAGAGGCTATGAACATGAGATGTAGACTTGGCGTAGAGTAATATTGGTAAAAGCAAAAGCAATGAATCTTGCAGCCCAAAAAAAAGAAAACATCGGGCCCCGCACTTCGTTTCCCCCGAATGGTCGCTCGTCCAATAACGTCAGATATCCATGACAAGAACTGGTAGTGATCTTCCTTCGGTCTGCGGGGTGAGACTTTGGTCCCCGTCAGACGATGAGGTGCGAGGCAAGAAAATCGTGTCCAGCGCGATTCGTCGAATTGAAACTGCTTCTATTGCCAGAAGCTTAGATGCTA